GCCATCATCCTTATAAAAATCCTTTCAGCGCATGAAGACTTTTTAAATGATAGTCCTTAAACACCACTGTCTCCTCCATTGAATAGACCCGACTAAAGTACCTTTCCTCATTGGTCTTTTTTATATTTAGGTGTAAACTCCTTTAGACAGGAGTATGTCTATTTTAATGGATTCTGACCAACAGGTAATAAGGACTCTGTCATTACATGCACTACTTTTTCGGGAGGAGGAGAATACTGGCTAATATTTACTGAGAGCTTAGCATATGTCAGGTATTATTCGTGGAGCTATACATGGAATCAATCGATTCATTCCTCATGAAGTATTATTATTTAACCCCTTGTTACAGATGAGGAAATCAAGGCATGGAACGGTCAAGTGATTCTGTGCAAGTTATAAAGCTTAGAAGGGTCTAGTAATAAAAAGAGAAACAAACATGGTGTAAATCCACTGCTTTGATCATTTCCTCAACAAGTAACCAACTCCTGCCACAAAGGCCCATATTCTCCACAGATAAAGTCTCTTGAAATTAAATAACAAAAAAGCTAAAATTGAGAGCAGAATCTCTCTCACTGGTCCACATCCATGAAGTCCACCATTTCCAGCATAATTTCTAGTTATCCAGTTGTTTGCAATACTTCCTCTGCCCTTAGAAATACTTAAACTGATTGTATCCAGAAATAAGATCTTGTTCAAGTATTTTTATCTTCATAATTAAACTAGTCTCTAGTTGTCAGGGGTAATTTTGTTTGCAGATACTGTTAATATGTGATTCTTTCTTACGAGTCTCTCTGCCACAGAGAAAATTGCGTGCAAAATGCAAAGAGAGTTAAGTAGGAAAAAATTAAACTCAGATATCTTTTTAGATGAACTCTATTGGCTAGTGAGACTTTCTAAATCCATGTCAGCCTCTTAGCAAGTAGATTTTGCAAAAATAAAAAAATATATTTCTCCGAACTTCTCTACAGGGAAATGATGAAAACATAAGTAATATGTGATCATGAACAATTAACACTTGAAAGTGAGTTTTGTTTCTAAGTACGAAAAATAAAATAAAAATCACCCATAATCCCATTCAAAAATCACTACCTAACATTTCAGCACCTTTTCTTCCAGTTTTTTTGGTCCATTTTTAAAGCACTGTTAATAAGCTATCTTTGAAAACTCAAGGTTTATTTGAACCCTCTATTCAAGAAGTTTGTCCCTTGGATATTTACTCAAAGAAAGAGAAAACACTAATTCAAAGAGATACATGCACCCCTATGTTTATTGCAGCATTATTTACAATAGCCAAGATCTGGATGCAGCCCCCAAGTGTCCATCAATAGATGAATGGATAAAGGAGGTATACACACACGCACATACACACACACACAGACACACACAATGGAATATTAACCATAAAAAAGAATCATCTTGGGCGCCTGGGTGGCTCAGTTGGTTAAGCGACTGCCTTCAACTCAGGTCATGGTCCTGGAGTCCTGGGATCAAGTTCCACATCGGGCTCCCTGCTCAGCAGGGAGTCTGCTTCTCCCTCTGACCCTCTTCCCTCTCGTGCTCTCTATCTCTCTCTCATTCTTTCTCTCTCAAATAAATAAATAAAATCTTTAAAATAAAAAGAATCATCTTGCCATTTGCAACAACATGCATGAAGCTAGAGCATATTATGCTAAGAGAAATATGTCAGACAGAGAAAGACAAATACCATATGATTTCATTTACAGGCAGAGCCTAAAAAACAGAATGAATGAACAAAAAACAAAAACAGAATCATAAATACAGAGAACAAACTGGTCTTGCTGAAGCAGAGAGGGCTGGGGGAATGAGTGAAGTAGGTGAAGGGGATTAAGAGGTACAAACTTCTGGATATAAAATCAGTAAGTCACAGCATAGGAAATATAGTCATAACATTCTAGTAACCTTGTATGGTGACAGATGGTAATTATGCTTATCATGGTAAGGATAGTGTAGTGTACAGAATCGTCGAATCACTATGTTGTACACCTAAATCTAATACAAAATTTTATCTTAACTATACATCAAAAAAAGAAGAAAAAGTGTGTCCCCTTGTCCCTGGGGAAAAAAAATTCCATTGTCTTCGTGCCCTCCTGTAATGTATTAATCCCCTTCAAAGGCAATTCAAGGTATTGAAAGAAAAATAAAATTATTTTAGCCACGCTGCTGTTACCTATCCTATTAGGAAAAGAAATGCTTCAATTAAAATTAAAGATCAACAAATGATGATTAGCATGCATCCCCTCGTCTCTGAAGGTGATTTAGCTATTCTCAGCCGGTAGTTCTCAAAGATGGTATTGAAGAGTACGTGCAATAAGAGGGTCAAGTTTAAGACTTCTTTAAACCTCTGCTCTCCATCCCGGTTAATGGCCTTCCTGGTGTTAGAGATTTGTTTAATGATCAACAGTGGCTTCTGTTCCTACCACTGAGTCTTTCACAAAGTAGCACAACCAAGTCAATGTTTAACTGGATTCTTTGGGCCTGGAATGGCAGAGTAGGAGCTGAAGGGACATCTCCATGGAAACCAGCCTCCCAGGCAGTGGCCAGAGGGTTTACTGTGTGGTGAAAGAAAGCTAGAAAGATGCCGTGAAGTGTTTTGTGGAGCTGCGGTAAAAATTCTGACGGACCTTAATTAGGACAAGCTAAGTTCAAGGCCCCAAACCACTTTCACCGTGGTTGTGCTTTGAATACCTTTACCGTGAAATGGGCCTGAGTCATTCTAAGGCTCACCCTCGGGTGACCAAAGTAGCACCCTTGCAAAACAAAGAGGAAGGGGCTCCCTCGGCCAGCCCCATGGCCTTTGCTTTCAGCCAGAATCTGGAAGGAAAGAGTTCCTTTGTGTTCACAAGGCTGCAGGATCAGAATACAGCTTTGGAAAGGCAGCCACCTCCTCTCCGACAGACGGGGTGTGGAAGACACTCGGCAGGTACGTGTGACACCCGTTGTGAGGTTTGCGGAGTCCGGCCAGGGGAAGCTATCGACAGACGTACGGGACTGTCTGTCTCCATAATCCTATCAGGAAGTTTCTCAACGGCTGAAACCTAAGGGGCCAGCTTTCAACTCGAGGCTGCAGCTGCATGTGTGTCGAGTATTCCGGGTACATTAGAACCGGTGTGTAAACTCTGCACCGAGGGCTTTTTACCGTTCCGCACGAGAAGGAAAAAACCATTTTGTTTCAGCTTAGTTTACAGTGCTTTCAATGTTTATACCTAGCTTTGCCAGACGATTAAAATTATATAGATAAGATGTGATAAATTATGACAATCATATGTTTCAGTTAGATTCTAAATTTAAATCATTCTCTTCAGAAGCATTTAGTGCATCAGCCTTTGTTGTTTTGAAAGCAACACTTTAGGAGTGAATTCATCCTAATGTGAATTTGGAAACCACCCCAAACAGAACTGATTTATTGCAGAACAGATAGGATGAGTCCCTCCCTCCCCAACCCCACATTCTTCACGCAGAATATGAACTAAGTTCTGTCATCTGCAGAACTAAGAGAATTTTCCCCCATTAGGATTGGAAGCTCTGAGCCTGAAGTGGCTATAAATTATCCTGGGATATTTTATAAGACATGTAAAATTTTTATGACAACCACAATGATAATTAAACAGTGATTCTAACTTGGGAAGAGAAATACAAGTATATAATGCATATGTATATATCTATGTAATTTTTTCTTTACTTATATTCTGGATCAATAACACAAAAAGTTCCCATTACTGGCCAACTTGGCCAGAAAGCCTTATATTCTCTTTCAGTGTCAGGTAGATCTCACCCAGACTGATTCCCATGGCTATTTTCTGAAGAACTGACAACCTTTGACGGGGGATATGGCCTATTTTTATGTCTCCTACTTCCTAAGCATGTGAATGGGAATTTTCCTGTAGTTTCATTGAAGAGTTCCTTTTTTTATTCAAACCATGTGTACAGAGTTTTAAGATTCTGGTAACTGAATAGCGAAAACTGATTCTAATGCATTAGAGTCCCACCTGGAAAATAATCTTATTTTTGAAATGACAAAATCACATTAAAAATAACAAAGGGATGGATGGCGAACATTCTGATCACTAATTTTAAGAGACCCATATTCTAACTCAGCTCCACCAAATGCCAAATTATATGAGTTTGGGAAAATTACTGCACCAATTTCCTTCACCTATAAATCAAGGGTAAAAATAAAACTGCCTGACATAGCCTCTGCCATTTTGGATGAATTGAATTAAATAATGAGGTGTTACCACTCAAATCATAGCACAAAAATCAGGAGGAGTCAGGCTGCTGAAAAACATGTTGCCAGAAATACTTACATTTCTTAACTGAAAATGTTTTTGTGTTGTTGTTGCCATTGCTGCTGTTTCTGTCTTGTTCAATGTGCCAGCATCTCCTGAGAGAAAATACAGACATGGTGAAGTTTTTAAGGTAGTCGTTCAAATGTTGTAAGGATAGAAACACATAATTACGCAGGGATTTTTCCATTTAAAATGCAAAGTGAAACTGTGGGATAGTCTCTGCAACAATCTGGAAATCAGAATGCTTCCCGATTACTAAGAGGAAAAGACAAAATTTCCTTCATGCAGCGTTGATCATGGTAGCAGTCCTACCGCCCCGGGGTAATCAAGCTAAAAACTAAAACCCATAATGGACCTCTTGAGTCCCAGCTCTGTTTCCTAACAAGGCTTAGCTCTGGAGCCCTAGCTTGCTTCATCAGGAAAGAATATTGATGTGTTGTATTGTAGGGCAACTTGTGGGAATTTCTTCCCCTAGTTGGAGGGACTATTTAATTGGGAACATACAATACTAAATATTGCATACTCCTGTCCAAACTCATGCTCCATTTTTTTGATCATCTATTTAATATCTACCCATCTATCTGTCCACCATCCATCTATTTCATCTGAAAAGACAATTTATTTTCATTTCTTAAAGATATATTTTTTTCTGATTTCCGAAATTTATTTTGGAGCAATTTCATGAAATTAAAACAAATGAAAAAGTTTCTATTTTCCAGACCAAATTCTGTGTTTGAAAAATATTTGTAGTCAATACATTTTTTATTTTTCCAATCCATTATAATATAAATCTAATATAAATTCCATCCAGTATGAATCCAGAGAAGAGATGAGGAAAGCAAAAATTAAATCCTGGGGCTAGGCTAAATTTTATCCTTTGCATTCATGTAGGACCTCTGCCTTATGTGTTTCATCTCCACATTCAACATACAGGTTAGACACGTATAACTAAAAAGGTCCCAAATTGTATTAACAAAATCTAATGATTAGTCTAATTTAATAGTCAATTTGTTTATAGTTTTTTTAATATTTATAAATTTATTTATTTATTTTTAATTTATTTTTTTAATTTTATTATATTATGTTAGTCACCATACAATACATCATTAGTTTTTGATGTGGTGATCCCCGATCCAGTGTTTTTGTATATCACCCAGTGCTCCAGGCAGTACATGCCCTCCTTAATACCCATCACCAGGCTAACCCATCCCCCCTCCCCCCTCCCCTCTAATACCCTGTTTGTTTCTCAGAGTCTATAGTCTCTCATGGTTCATCTCTCCCTCCAATTCCGCCCCCTTCATTTTTCCCTTCCTTCTCCTAATGTCCTCCAGCTATTCCTTATGTTCCACAAGTAAGTGAAACCATACGATAATTGACTTTCTCTGCTTGACTTATCTCACTTAGCATAATCTCCTCCAGTCCCATCCATGTTAATGTAAAAGCTGGGTATTCATCCTTTCTGACGGCTGAGTAATATTCCATTGTATGTATGTTTATGGTTTGTTTTTATTTCTCTCCCAATCCTTCAAGTGCCCAGGGCCATGTATTTTGACATCCCACTGGAACACGGAGAAACAAGTATTATTAAAAGTCATCCACCCCGAAGACTTCAAGTAAGATGAATTTAAAAGGCTTCATAAAGAATTTCTTGGATTTCATGGTAACATCCCTTTTTAACTCTAATAAAGGAGGGATATTGCAAATGACTGAGTTAGTAAGAATGAGAATGTTGTTGAAGAGAATGCTGTCAGTTACAAAGACCTTATTTCTTTAGGATTTCCTTTTGTAATGATTTCGCTTTTAAGACCACCCCCAAAAGAAGGAAACATAGTATCTAAGACACAGGTGCCACGTGATTCAAAAGACCTGCATCTGGCACTGATGAGCTAGAGGACTATGGAGAAATCACTTGTAACAAATAATAATAACAATCATAACAGCTAGGACTATTTAATTAGCACCTACTGCAAGTCAGATAGACTGCACAACTTGATCAGTGTCAGTCATTTAATCTTCATACTCCTCTAGGAGAACGGAGGTATTATCTTTGCTTAATACATGTGGTTTAGAGAATTAAGTAACTTGTCCAAGGACGGTGTAGGTCAGATATCAACCAGATCTCCAAAGCCCATGCTCTTAACTATCAGCATCATTGATCTCTACAGACCTTCTATCCCTAAACTTCTATTGTTCTAAATGTTAACTGGTTGCTGAAATTGAGGACATTGGATTCCAAGGCAGCAAAGCAAGAGCTTTAAATGCATTCACCTTAATAAATATGTAATGAATTCCCTCCAGAGAGCTATAAATTCTAAGAACTCTTCATCGTAGAAAGGGAAAGAGATCTGAGTGGATCCTTGAAAATGAGCATCAGCTAAGAGAAGGGGTTGTTTGGGTTCTCCTGTGAGCAGGAGCTATCACTGACATTGGGAAAAAAAAGAAAAGAAAAGAAAAAAAAAAGAATTGGAGCCAAATCCCACCTGCTACACAATTCACCCAGATATCTGGACAAATCCCAGAGGTATTTTAGTTCATTTGTTGGGGGTTATTTCTGTTTCAGTTGGTTTTTATTTACCTGTCTTCTCCAGAAGCTCACAATCATTGTTTGAAGTGATTATATCTTTTGTTCACAAAAGAAGCATTTTTCCCAAAATACTGGAAATCTCAAAACATTTTTATTTAAATAAAAATAAAGTATAATTATATCGAACTGATATATTATTTTAAAACTCTTGAGCAAATCTCTAGCTAAACTGGACAATTTAAAAACTTAGTTTTCTTCCTAAATCAAACGTACCTCTTCAGAGGAATGTGCTTAATACATGTTCCGGTGGAGGCAGTAAGCTGAATAACTCAAGTAGGAGATACTACTATAACCAGTGAAAAGTATTTGTGTAGCAGTTTGTAGTTCACAAAGTACTTTTTATGTCTATCAACCCTAAAGCAGCTAAGATTAGGCTTTGATTCTCAGATCAGTTCAAGCTCAAAAGGAGAACTTTAGTGTTTCAGAACCAAAGACTCTACCCCCACATCCTAACCAACCACCTGAAAAATCAAGACAAACGAATCATTCGAGTGCAAAGACTATGTCTTACTCTGTCTTATATCTTCAGTCACTAACACTTAATATGTACCCCCCAAAAAGCTTATGAATGAATGGTGAATGAATGACAATGAGCCCCATTATCCCTGGTGGGAATAAAATTCAAAATGCATTCTCCCTGCTATTGCAGACCTATAGTATCCCTGAATTGTAAGTCTAATTGACTAGCTGCCAATGTCATGGGATTATGAAGATATAGGAGTGTTTGTTGAACCCAAGAGCTGGGAAGCAGTTGGGCTTCAGCTTTGCCTTGGAACCTGAAAGGCACAACTCTCTCTGTGTCTCCCCTAAGCTCTTCTCTGTGCATTTGCTTTATTCTTCCTGCAAAGCGACTTTCTCTGCTCCTCAAGACCACTTGGTGAAATATGGCCACCCTCAATTCCTGAATTTACATTTTATAGTTCCAGTCAAACAGACAGATCAGCCTGGCTCTCTTGGCTCCAATTCGAAATTCCGGGAGGAAAGATCTTACTGGCTCAGCTTTGTTCATGATTCCAGTTCTGTTCCAATAATCTATGACCAGAGGATATGCTCATGCAGTAGAAATGTGGGCAGAGAAGCCCCCCTCCCCTACCCCGATAAATTGTGGAAGCAGCTCCCAGAGAAGAGGGAAATCACTGGGAACTTGGCAGACACTCCCAAAGATATCAACTATAATTATCTTCACAAATGAGGCTCAGCACATTTTCCACCACAAATGGGTTTTTGAGAGAAAAATAAATGCTGGGTTCCCATGACATGCTAATTAATAGCCTAATCTCTGCCAAAGAAAATTCTAAAAGTATTTTTAATTATTAAACCAAATCTAATTGCATCCTAAATAATTTGAGTTGCACATTTGGCACTCTCCACTTCCTAAACATCTACTCCTCAAGTAAAGAGCAGGTCATGAACTAAAGTTCTCCAAATCGGGGCTGCTGAATTCAGAGAGTCTCTGCCAGGGAACTCTGAATCCAGCGTGCTCACCTCGTGTTGCAAAGTTGATCACATTGTCCCTCCTGGCCTGATTCACCTTCTCATCCAACCATCTCCGGTTCCACCTAAGGGGGAGATGGTCAACCGCCCCCGCCCCCGGGGCCCCATGTAATGTGATTTCCTCAGATGACTTCCTCTTTCATCTCCCAAGATTTTCTTAAGTCTCACTGTCCTACAGGCAGTAGGACAACCTATAATGACAACCTCGTGACAGCTGGAACCCTTACCCTGACACTCCTGACCGTGAACCACCATCTTTTCTTTTCCTCAGAACACTGACGTCTAACACACCAAGCAATTGACTTCTATGACGTTCACTGTGTATTTTGTTTATCACCTCCCCGCCAGCGCTACAATATTATCTTCCCCACAGGCAGAGATTTTTGTCTGTTGTCTTCACTAATGTATCTCAGTGTCTAGAACAGTATCTGGCACATAATAGGTGATCAATAAATATGAGTTGAATAAATGTTGAATGAAGGAATGCAAAGGGGGAAAGATGAGTATAAGCCCTGCAGGTGGGAGATAAGGAAGGCGGTTCTGACCTGGATGGTTTTATTGTGTTGTTTTCAGTATTATATAGTTCGTCACAAATGTATTCCCTTTCCTTATCTTTTCTCCTTGCCCATTTTTGATTATCTGTTTCTTTGTAATTTGTGAGAGTGCTTTATATATCTTAGATCTAGCCCTTCGTTAGTTACACGTGTTACAAATATCTTTTCTCCATTTATGGTTTGCCTTTTCATTTTGCGTGTGTGTGTGTGTGTGTGTGTGTGTGTGTGTGTGTGTGTGTGAACACAAAGATGTCCACTTTAAATGTTGTCAAATTTCTCAATCTTAGTCTTTATGTTTTGTATTTCTTGTATTTTGTCTAAGAAATTTTTATTTTCCCCAAGGTCATAAAGATATTCTTCTTTAATTCTTTTTTTTAAGATTTTATTTATTTGAGAGAGAGAGAGTAAGCGAGAACGAACACAAGCAGGGGGAGGCAGAAGGAGAAATAGTCTCCCCACTGAGTGGGGAGCCCGACTCGGGGCTCCATCCTAGGACCCAGGGACCATGACCTGAGCCGAAAGCAGGTGCTTAAACAACTGAGCCATGCAAGCACTTCTCTTCTTTACTTCTTTCTGAAATTTATAATATTTACCTTTTCACATTTAGGCCTTAATCCGTCTGAAATTCATTTGTGTGCAGATGTGAATTTGGAATTTAACTACTTTATTTTCATTTGAATAATCTATTGTCCTGGGGCGCCTGGGTGGCTCAGTCATTAAGCGTCTGACTTCAGCTCAGGTCATGATCCCAGGGTCCTGGGATTGAGCCCCGCATCGGGCTCCCTACTCAGCAGGAAGCCTGCTTCTCCCTCTCCCACTCCCCCTGCTTGTGTTCCCTCTCTCGCTGTGTCTCTCTCTGTCAAATAAATAAATAAAATCTTTAAAAAAAAATCTATTGTCCCAATACTCTTTATGGAATCATCCTTCTTTGACCATTGATTTAAAAAGTTACTTTGGTCCCATATTCAGTTTCCAGAGCTTCATGAGTCTGTTTTCAGGCTCTCTCTTCTGTTGCATTGGTCTATTTGTGTATCTCCATAGGAATTTCTCAGTCTTAATTATGTATCTTTAGGTCTTAATATCTAAAACAATAAGTCCTTTTATTTTTCTTTTTCAGAATTATCTTTGTTATTTATGGTGCTTTGCTCTTCCATGTGAAGTTTGGAGCTTTTTATCAAGTCCATTAAAAACCTTGCTAACATTTTGATTGAAATGCATTCATAGATTAATTGGGGAAAATTGACCACATTTATCATACTGAGTCTTCTAAACCACACACATTGCATAAATCTCAATTTACTCTGATTTTCTTTTAGATCTTTTAATAACGTTTCATAATTTCTCCACGGGGGTTTTGTGTGAGGTTTTTTTCTTAGGTTTGTTTCTAGGTACGTATATCAGTGAGTGTTCAACCAGAGAAACAAAACCAGTAGAAGATTATATATATAATATTGCAAGGAATTGGCTTACATGAATGTGGAGACTGGCAGGGCGAGTCTGAAATCCACAGGGCAGGCCATCAGGGAGGTCGGGCTGCAACTGCAAGGCATGAGCTGAAGCTGCTGTCCATACGTAGAATTTTCTATTCTTCAAGGGAGCCTCAGCTTTGCTCTTAAGACCTTTCAACTGATTGAATCAGGCCCACTCAAATTATCTAAAATAATCCTCCTTACTTAAATCATTATGAGGGTGCCTGGGTGGCCCAGTCAGCTAAGTGTCCAACTCTTGATTTCGACCTGGATAGTGATCTCAGGGTCCTGAGATCGAGCCCTGAGTCAGGCTCCATGTTCAGCATGGAGTCTGTTTGGAGTTCTCTCTCCCCCTCTGTCTCTGCGCCCCACCCCCGGCTTTGTGCACGCTCTCTCTCTCAAAATAAATAAAATCTTTAAAAAAAAAAAAGTCAAATGCTTATAGACTTTAATCACCTCTACAAAATAATGTCACATTAACACCTAGATTAGTGTTTGAATAACCGGAGGCT